AAATTAAAATTCAGAAGATTAATTTTTTATTTTTTTGGGACCACATATGGGTTAAAAGATCACAAAGGGAGAAGGATGGAACAAATAGTAGAATATGAATGGTAACCAAAATAGTGCCAACAATTTTTGAAGATGGGGCATGATTTCAGCTTGAAGCAACCAAGGGTCTTAGTGAACAATAAGGAGAAAGTTTGGAAACCTAAGCTTCAAACTATTGAAACTGTGATAAGTATTGAGAAGCCTAAGAGACAAGAATCAGAAGAGTTTGAGAACAATGATGACTAGAAGGTGGTGACAACATGAAAAAGAGAAAGAGGAAAAGGACATATGGCAGAGGACTATAACATACCATGCATCCAAGACCTTCTTTGCAGCAACAACTTTAATCCTTTAAAGATTGAAACTAGTCTTATAGGGGATCCCTCCCATGTCCCATGATTGTTACATGGAATGTGAGGGGCTTGAATAAGGAAGCAAGGCATAGAGTGATTAGCTCCTCTCTCTCTAACTTTAATGTCCCTATTATTTCCTTGTTAGAAACTTGAGTCAAGAGAATAAATGCTGCCCCGAATTAGAAATAAAATGGGAAATTGGAAGTTTGAGGACAATTACAAGGACCATGAAAATGGTAGAATTTGGCTTCTTTGGAAGCAGACTGAGATCAACATTAGAGTGTTGTACACCACTGCTCAGATGATGCAGATTGAAGTGTCTGACTTGACTACTAATCCCCAATACCTGGTGACTATTGTGTATGCTTAAAATCAACTGGACAACAGGAAGCTCTTATGGCAGGAGATTGAAAGGATATGTGGCAATATCAATTTTCCTTGGATTATTATAGGAGACTATAATAATGTTCTTAGGAGTGGAGACAGGGTGAGAGGTAATCAGGTTCAAGAGAATGAGTATCCAGACCTTGTGTGTATGATGCAGAACCTTGGGATGTTTGAAGCTAGTTCCAAAGGTTGCTATTTTAGCTGGACCAATAAGAGTGCTACTAACCCCATCTATTCCAAAATAGACAGGATGATTGGCAATATTGAGTGGTTTCAGAGGTTTCAGAATACTATAGTGGAAGTCTTGAAGCCAAGCATCTCTGACCATACCCCTATCAAAGTTGGAACTATTACTCAGGATCATTACAGGAAGACTTTGTTTAAGTTTCTTAGTTGTGTGACACATGATAACTCTTATATCCAGTTGGTTACTAGAAGTTGGCAGGTGGGGGTTAAAGGTCCAGCTATGTACAGATTATGGACAAATCTCAAAAGGTTACAACCAATTCTCAAGACCCTGAACAGGAAATTCACTGACATCCAAATTCAGATTCAGCAGACCAGAGATAATCTTGCTCAGGCTCATAATCAACTACAAAAAAACCTTTTTGACTGCCATGACAATGAGAGGGTGAAAGATTGTACTGATCAGGCGCTCAATTTGAATCAGATTGAAGAATTAATGTTAATGCAAAAAGCAAAGATCAATTGACTGTAACTTGGGGATACCAACAACAGTTTCTTTCATGCATCTATCAAGGATAAAAACAAACACAAGGGTCTGTACTCTCTTACTGCCTTAGTTGGGTCGAAACTCACCAGTCATGAGGCTATTAAGGATGAAATCCTTAATTTTTATGAGAAGCTGGGGGGAGCTAGAGCTGAGGAGCTTTATGGGATTGATATCCATGCTATCAGGAAATGGAATAAGTTGAATAGAGAGAGTGCCCAGAGTCTTATAAGATCTATTGAAGACAGTGAAATCTGGAATGCCCTGGCTAGCATAGGTAATACCAAAGCTCCGGGTATGGATGACTTTAATGCCTTTTTCTTTAAGTCTTCATGGAGTATTGTTAAGAAAGATGTGATTAAAGCCACTAAACAATTTTTCCAGCAGAAGCACATCTATAAAGCCTTCAACTGCTCTATAGTGACCCTTATCCCTAAATTTTCTAGTGCTGACACAACCAAGGATCCGAGGCCCATTTCCTTCTGCAACACCTTTTACAAGATCATTTATAAAAACCACCAGGCTTGGAGCAGTCATTAGTGAAATAATTGATATTGTACCCCAAAATTTTTCCTCTCATTTTTCAAGTAATCTCTCATAAGATCTCCTTGGATTCAAGACTGCACAAGGTTTGATCAACTCAAGACACCTCCTCAAGCACTAATAACTGAAAATTAGGGTTTGAGTTTGCACAAGGACAAACAGACTTTTAATGCCTCATATGACTTTCATGGATCATTTTGGACTCTCAAGATTGCTCATGTCAAGTTTCAAGTCTTGGATCACAGTTTTGCTCAGTCAATTGATCAGTTGACCTAAAATCATCTGTATTAGGAAAAAAGTCAATTGTGGTCAATTTACAACCAAACTTCATAATTTTTTATCCATATCAACATTATGAACTTATATATGTCAATTGATCAAGTTTGGATCACAATTCCTCAAGAAATTTGATCAGATCATCAAAAGGGAAAAATGGTCAAAATTAGGG